GACGAGATGCAGTAGACACATCGTCCGACAATTCTATAGGTTCTACTCTTTCAAATGAAGTAGAGGCATTTTCATTAGGTATTGTGTGATCACATCCATTGTTCTCGGTAGGATTAATCAGTTCATTCGAGACAATAGGGTTGCATACTTTAGCTTTGTTACATTACAGATGTTTTCCCGATTTGCATATTCAAAAGACTCGTTCGTTATAATTGTTGACTCAGTCCGAAATTCATCATCGGGAATCTTTTTATTTCTATCCATAAACTCTTGAAATTGACGAATTGCCGGTCCTATGTTAGAAAACGATTCCGATATAGCTTGGATCGCTTCGGAATTGGTTAATTGGCCAAGCTTAAGACTTTCGAGGTCTTCACAAACATCTTGCATGCTTGATTGCTTAGCAACTGAAATGTCCTCGTCCTGCTTACATATCTGCTTGCATAATTCCTTCATAACATCGCCCGCTTTCTTGCCATCAAGATACAACAAGTTTTTATTCTTTTTCCATACTATTACTGAATCATCAAAGGTAAATAGCTTTTTGTCACCGCCAGGTTGAGACCATGTTCCATTGAGCTGCAGATCTTCGCTAACAAACCGTTTAGGCATTCAAAATCGCCTGCACAAGCAAAGCATAACTTGTCTCTTAACTTTGTCGCCATAAGTAGGTCATTTGTTCATAAAACCAGTGCAAAGAATCCTCAAATATCACTTAATGTTATCACAAACAATTACTTATCACCATTCATATTCAACTGCAAAATCTTTTTAACGATGGCCTTGTGGCGCAACTGGTAGCGCGTCTGACTCCAGATCAGAAGGTTAAGTGTTCAAGTCACTTCAAGGTCATGACGAACCTGAGGAATTTTCTTGAAAATGTTCGATATCAGAATAGAGAAGCCTTTTACATTTAGTGGCGGTTGCAATGTCGGTCGATCGAATTCCCATGTGGTGTAGTGGTTAGGATCTGGCGCTCTCACCGCCATGGCCCGGGTTCAATTCCCGGCATGGGAAAATGCAAATTCTCTACAGAAAATGCCTTTTATTCCGTGCTTACATTCTAAGAAATGTGCCCTCGTGCTGTTGACGTTTTGCGACGTCCATCATTTTAATTTGCGGTGCCGCAAACAACGTAGCTAAAGAAGATCACAATGAGTAATTACTGACGACGTGTGTACCAGTTCTAAAAATAACTTGGTGGTGTTTAAATCCACAGCGAAATAGTAAAAATTGCGAAGAAATGACTGTGCTGTATATCGCGTTGGTGGTTCAGTGGCAGAATTCTCGGCTTCCACGCGGGAGACCGGGGTTCGTTTCCCCGCCAATGCACAGTATTTTACCTCTCGCATGATGGTTTCATGAATTTAGTGAAAAATTGGTATCATCATCCACATTGACAGAAATTGGAATCCCTCCAACACATGTCTAAAGAAGAACGTGATGATCAATTTATGTTGCCAAAAGTTTACACAGAACGTTTTAAACAATCATTTTTAAATAAGTGTCTTTTTAATGACTTTTAGAATTTTTTTTACGGTATATATTATAACAATAACGTTAACATATTTCTAAATAATCTAATTATTTTATCTTATATGCACTGATCGTTTTAAACAACTTTTAATGACTTTTAAAACTTGGTTTTACTGTATATATTAACTGTAACGTTAACACATTTGTAAACAATGTAATTATATCTTATATGTACTGTAAAGTTGCACGTTTGTTGCAACTCCAATATTTATGATAGATTTTAGTAAAGACTTACGAATGAACGAATGTCCCATGTGGTCTAGTGGTTAGGATCTGGCGTTTTCACCGCCATGGCCCGGGTTCGATTCCCGGCATGGGAATGCTTTTTAGGATATTCGATGACTTTTGTTTCGACGACTGCATCGTGGATATTCAACTGCAAAATCTTTTTAACGATGGCCTTGTGGCGCAACTGGTAACGCGTCTGACTCCAGATCAGAAGGTTAAGTGTTCAAGTCACTTCAAGGTCATGACGAACCTTAGGAATTTTCTTGAAAATGTTCGATATCAGAATAGAGAAGCCTTTTACATTTAGTGGACGTTGCAATGTTGGTCGATCGAATTCCCATGTGGTCTAGTGGTTAGGATCTTGCGGTCTCACCGCGATGGCCCGGGTTCAATTCCCGGTATTGGAAAATGCAAATTCTCTACAGAAAATGCCTTTTATTCCGTGGTTACATTGTAAGAATTGTGCCTTCGTGTTGTTGACGTTTTGTTACGTGCATCATTTCAATTTGCAGTGTCGCGAACAACGTAGCTAAAGAAGATGACAATGAGTAATTACTGACGACGTGTGTACCAGTTCTCAAAATAACTTGGTGGTGTTTAAATCCACAGCGAAATAGTGAAAATTGCGAAGAAATGATTGCGCAGTATATGGCGTTGGTGGTTCAGTGGTAGAATTCTCGCCTGCCACGCGGGAGACCGGGGTTCGATTCCCCGCCAACGCAGAGTATTTTACCTCTCGCATGATGGTTTCATGAATTTAGTGAAAAATTGCTATCATCGTCCACATGGACAGAAATTGGAATCCCTCCAACACATGTCTAAAGAAGAACGCGATGATCAATTCATGTTGCCAAAAGTTTACACAGAACGTTTTAAACAATCATTTTTAAATAAGTGTGTTTTTAATGACTTTTAAAATTTTTTTATACGGTATATGTTATAACAATAACGTTAACATATTTCTAAATAATCTAATTATTTTATCTTATATGCACTGATCGTTTTAAACAACTTTTAATGACTTTTAAAACTTGGTTTTACGGTATATATTAACTGTAACGTTAACACATTTGTAAATAATGTAATTATATCTTATATGTACTGTAAAGTTGCACGTTTGTTGCAACTCCAATATTTATGATAGATTTTAATAAAGACTTACGAATGAATGAATGTCCCATGTGGTCTAGTGGTTAGGATCTGGCGTTTTCACCGCCATGGCCCGGGTTCGATTCCCGGCATGGGAATGCTTTTTAGGACATTCGATGACTTTTGTTTCGACGACTGCATCGTGGATATTCAACTGCAATATCTTTTTAACGATGGCCTTGTGGCGCAACTGGTAGCGCGTCTGACTCCAGATCAGAAGGTTAAGTGTTCCAGTCACTTCAAGGTCATGACGAACCTTAGGAATTTTCTTGAAAATGTTCGATATCAGAAGAGAGAAGCCTTTTACATTTAATGGTGATTGCAATGTTGGTCGATCGAATTCCCATGTGGTCTAGTGGTTAGGATCTGGCGCTCTCACCGCCATGGCCCGGGTTGAATTCCCGGCATGGGAAAATTCAAATTCTCTACAGAAAATGCCTTTTATTCCGTGTTTCCATTCTAAGAATTGTGCCCTCGTGCTGTTGACGTTTTGCGACGTCCATAATTTTAATTTGAAGTGCCGCAAACAACGTAGCGAAAGAAGATCACAATGAATAATTACTGACGACGTGTTTACCAGTTCTAAAAATAACTTGGTGGTGTTGAAATCCACAGCGAAATAGTAAAAATCGCGAAGAAATGACTGTGCTGTATATCGCGTTGGTGGTTCAGTGGCAGAATTCTCTCCTGCCACGCGGGAGACCGGGGTTCGATTCCCCGCCAACGCAGAGTATTTTACCTCTCGCATGATGGTTTCATGAATTTAGTGAAAAATTGGTATCATCATCTACATGGACAGAAATTGGAATCGCTCCAACACATGTCTAAAGAGGAACGCGATGATCAATTTATGTTGCCAAAAGTTTACACAGAACGGTTTAAACAATCATTTTTAAATAAGTGTGTTTTTAATGACTTTTAGAATTTTTTTATACCGTATATGTTATAACAATAACGTTAACATATTTCTAAATAATCTAATTATTTTATCTTATATGCACTGATCGTTTTAGACTAGACGAAATTTCGGAAAATAGTACATCAAGAGGCATTTCTCAGTAAAAGTTGGCGATCGTAGTTTTCTAATGTTATTTAACACGCTGAATTCGAAAATGATGGTCGCCAGATCTCAATCTGCATTTCAGTAGTCAAAAATGACGTCACAACTTTTGTCTACATATGACGTCACAGCACATATAGATTCAAGATAAATAAATATTTTAGATTTGTTACTCATCCAATTACAGCATGTTTAAGCCATTTTCAATCACAAATATATTTCGCCTTTATGTTGGCAAAAAATGTTCAAAAAAATTCAATAAATGCTCATTATCAATAAATGTCTATATAACGTTGCAAAATGTATTGCGGTTATATATCAAAGTGGTTAATCATTCACTGATTCCATGTGCCCGCACTTTGTTGGCCGATAGTTCTCCTTCACCTAGCGACGCTAGAAGGTAATGTTTGTCTTGAAATGTCTTCCACGCTGACACTTTGGAGTGGTTGGAGATATATGACGTTGTGTCACAAGCAGTCAGCGCATGGAAAGGGAGGAGCGCTGATAGCGATCCCGCGGGAAGATTCTCGCTTATCGCCCTGATGTTAAAGAACTTGCGCCTGGCCGCTGTTCCTGCCATCATCCACACATTTGGAGAAGGCATACTTGGTAAATGCGCCACAAGAAGTAACAGTACGTCAGTATTTCTGGCAGACATAACAACCGTGTCACAACTGTTGACGATAGCATGTACAACCAATCTTGTATCAGCTTCTTCGTGATTTGCGCACAAAAGAGAAGGATCAACCAATTGGCTTGACGATTACGCTTCTTTTCCGTAGGAAAATCCACCTGCAACAACAATGACTTTCTCTTGAGGTGCATTTGCAATTAAATGTTCGGACAGAAATTTGGCAAAGTTTGCCTTGTTTTCCGGTAAAGCTAAGAAATTTGACCAGCTGTTCGGAAGTGGAACATTCTTGTTCTCAATTACACGACGAACGGGGTGAATAGTCTTGGTACGGTGTTCTCTCGTGCCTGCTTTGATTGAACTCGTCTCGTTCCTGTCGAATAGTACGTGAATTTGCTAATACCGCGAACCTGCTACCAATACGGCATCTTCGAATCTATCTTCATAGGCTCCGAAGGTCATGCCGTCAATCAGTAAACATCCACTTCCTTGCAAATCTATAGCACTCGGACATTCAATTCCCCTGGTGAGAACATCAGCCAGCGCTGCTTTCTGGCCAGTTCTAAGTTTACCATTCGTTTCCGCTAATGATATGGGTACGGACATTAGCTGATGCGACAAAACATTATGTAAATCTACTTCTCGACCAGCTCCGTAAGCAACGATAAGACGCTGTAAAACACTCCTGTCAGCCCGTAACATCGTGTTCTTTTCTTTCTTTTTGCCCCCTTCGGCGACTTGATACAACGAATCGAAAGTAATAGCATTGTTCTTGTGCATTGTATCCGTAAATTGAACCTTGGTCTCCCCTTGCTCGTTATTTGGTTGCTGTTGAAGTGGTCCAGTCCACCTTTGCTGTACAAAGTCTTTAAATTGTTTCTGTCCCATATTTCGCGCCTAACAGTGATCAGTCTTGAATCTCGAAGGTGGCCAAATCTTTCGTAGCGATGCTGAAAAGATATTCTGGATGGGATGTTGGTGAAAACACATCATGCTGCTCGAAGACGGAAATGAGTGATTCTTCATCCTTATTGTCGCGAACAATCCTTGCAGGCGCAAATTCGTTGTGACAATACGTATCCTCTTGAACTAGGCCAAACATCTCATGAGTTTTCTCAGCAATCTCCGACCGCAAATTATAAGAAAGAGCCCACCTTGGAAGCAAAAAATAATACATTTTACACCATTTGGTAAATATATAATTGTAGGTATTATTGTATATATTTTACAAACTGTTCCGTATTTTGACACTTTATTAAATTATAGTGCACACGTGAGTATCGATCTCAAACCGGTTTTGTACTACACAAATAATCAGTTATCCAAATAAGTAACTGGCCGATTAAAGCTGCATGTTTGCGCCCGATTTAGCATTATTTGGACACTTGAAATAAGGAATTGAATATAAAATGTATTTATTAAAACCGTTAACGCACCTGCTCAAGGCTGAAGATGTCTTAGTTATACCAACAATTCCACCTCCTCGTTTACCAATGCCGTTCAACCACTCGAGGCTGTGGTCAGCGCTTACTTCATTGAAAGCGCCCTCTTTCCACTTCGAACAAAGTTACCCTTCTTAAACTCCTGTAACACTTCATACGGCAATTGTTCCATCTCGGCGATAAATATCGACCCCCACTTGGCATAATTCAGGTGGTCGTACCTGAAAAAGTATGGAAACATGGCACGGAAGCTGTCTAGATATAACTCCCAATCTCCCTACCGCTGCGCACGGGTAAAATCGAGTAGGATAAATATCATCTCCATATAGCTCCACCAGAACTGAAAATTGACATTTTCCTGACACTTCTGCGTTAAGAACTCGTCGTACACCGTTTGAAATTGTGGCGACTTCAAACATGTAATCAAATCATTAACATTCTGCTCTGACGACAAAAGACGCGAAATCTGCAGTGCAAGATCAACATTGATCGTTTTGCAAAACTTGAGTAACAGCGGGACCAACAGGCGCCATAGGGCTTGCACTGCTATCTTATGCGCACGCATTGCTTTTTTATACGCCTTGCCGCTCATCACAGTCTCAGCAGCATTTGGTCCGGCCTAGGAGACCACTCTCTATCCATGTGTCAACAAGGCCTGATCCCTTCATATGATCTCCAATTGTCCAAGCACGGCGGCCACATACATGCATTTCTTAACGACCGTGTTCAAGGTATCCATTTCGTGCGCGGGTGCTTGTATGATTGGCATGTACCCTACCTTTGTTACTTCATGCACGAACTTGTCGCCAACTTCTCCCCGTGATGGCGACTGGTTAAACTCCGTCCATCAGCTTCTGATCACACCTTCGCTTCGTAGCATATTGAATGCCAAATCAGTAGCTTTGGCAGCTTGTTTACATTCTTTCTTATCTTCAGCTTGGTCATACCACGTCGTCTTAACTGCTTTAATGAAGACAGAATTGCTTTTTCTTGCCACAATCGTTCCAATCTTGTCCATCGATTCTGGAATATCCAAACTTCGCTTTTTGGATGGATTTACACCGTCAAGTAACGACGAATTTTCTGCCCCATGTTGCCATCCAGCTATTTGTGTGGCATGAGACGTGTTCTTACCGTCCAGCGTTTCATCCAAAATATCAATGTTATCAGCAGAGAAGTGTACGAAATTACCTTGCACCAAATTTGGCGGAATCACGGTTTCGCTTTTTTCATCCATAGTGTTTAAAACACGCTCGGCTAAACCCGTGTCAAGATGAAGAATTTGGTCATAACTCAGACTATGTCCTGCCTTGTGAAAAAGTTTAACTAGATCTTTCGATCTTGTGACTTGGTGAAGGGTGCTCCCTAAGCCAATGTGCTTAGGTGTCCATTTCTTACCGTTGCTTACCCCGTACAAAATATCTTGAGCAACGGCAAGCGCTTTACGGCGAACTTCATTTTCTTTTTCTTCAATCGTTTCCTTATCCAAAAGTCGTTCACCTCCGAACAAAAGGTTTAGAAACAGTTGCAGACTTTCGGGAACACAATCACCGACATCGTGTATGCCTATGTCGAGTCCCATGTAACCTGGGGTCTCCTGCACATCAGCTCGTATCATCAACGCCACATGAACAAGAGAGAGGAAATCGTCTTGTTGGTGATAAACGGGCAGAGTTAGTTCATCGTCTTCTTCGTCAGCCGTACCCTGGGTTACTAACTGGGACAGAACCATTTTAGCGTACTTTTTGGGAAATAGCAAGATGTGACGCTCAGACGGCTCCCTTTCAAATGATTGCACGTGCTGTATGATGTCTCCAACCATATGCATAATTTTGTCCTTAAAAGTCGCCCTTCGACTGATAAAAGAAGAGGGAAGCGTGTTGCCCGCTTTTTCGGCTAATGTAGTGTATCTTTCCCATGCGTCATCAAGTCTAATAACATGGCCCTTGTCAGCAGCATACTCCAATTCTTTGGACAACCAAACCAATGCTAAATCATAGTCTTTCATTTCACTTTTTGTCTTATCCCTTGATCTTTTAGATGCACTGAAGCATGATAAATGGTACTTGTCTTCAGCGGCTATCAAATCTGAGATACCCGCAAATCGAGTGCACAGTATTTTGTCAAACTTAGAAATCTCAATAATTTGTTCACTCATCTTAAATGTCATAACTGACGATAAGCGCTCATTCGTATGAACCTGACAGAAAGCACATTTATCCCAATCAACTTGTTTTGTTTGCGCACGCGTTTTACGCGGACTTGAGGTTGATATTGCAGACGCCTCATCTTTGTTGCACTTTTTCTCCAGGCGCTGAATTTTGTCTTTGCTTGTAAATAGGGAATAGCATTTAACATGCCAAACGTTTGAAGTATCAATACTATTTATGACTTCTTCCAGCCTACTGATTGTTTCCCTGTTCCCAACATCTCTAAACTTACTCCGCAAATTCATGGCATCGCGAACTACCGTTCTGATATAATCAGTAGCGGCTCTCAAATGTTCACCTTTAAGACTGGTCTGACAGAAATTAAATACAAGCATTTACGTCGATTTGTGAAGATATTTTTAACGTTAAAACGGCTCGAAAATTGAAGACCACAAGATCCGCAACAAACAATAACAGCAAAACTGAACCAATTTTTCCCATGCAATTAAGAAAACAGACTTCGCGAATTTATATTTTCCTCTAACGGTTAAATATATTAAATCAAGAAGAAAATGCAAAGCCTTTTAATACATTTTACAAATCCGACAGGCGCCGCCAAGACGGCGCAAACATCTAGTCTACGAACCCATTCTCTACTCTTGAGACGCTTGTTTGTCTGGATTGTAATTTTTTAAAATATTTTTTTGCAAAAACTATTTCCAGTTCTGTTTTCAAATATACTTATGCCACGATCGCCAGAAGGTCAAAACTCTTAAAGACTAAAAAAATAATTCGGTTTCATCAGCTTTCATTTCTCGCCGTAAAATTAAAGTCTGCTTTTACTCAAATTATTTGTTTATTTAATTGATTTAATCGGCCATTTCGTGTCATTCGTAAACTTTATGCTTATTTCTGGTCTATTAGCTTTTTTAACAACTCACAAAGAAGAAAATAGCGTTTGCAATTTCGAAATAAACACGAACAAGTAAGATAGCGTCATTTCTAGTGTCAATCTCATGACGTCATCAATATGACGTCATTATCTTGATCCAAACGCAAAATCATCGTTGGCGACCATGAAATTCGGATTCAGCGTCAAAAACTACATAAGAAGACACTTGTCGCCAACTTTTACTAAGAAATGCCTCATGCACTCTAAATAATCGACTTCTTGAATTTTTCGCCTAGTCTATTTGGAAAAGGTTTTTCAGCTAGATTTCCTGTGCATTTTGTTGGATATAAGCTCCTGTGGAGAAGACATAAAAGGTCAAAGAAATATCTTAGATCTTAAGTGAGTAAATTTATTTGAAATTAAGGTAATCTTTCCATGTTTCGCGCACCGATATAGTAATGCGCGAATCAAATCGAAACCTTGACATCCCCCCCCGGGCATACCCCCGGGAATTTGGATTTTGACGTTTTGGTCAGGTCAAATTCCCTACATATATTTGTAATTCCCGTTCAAATACACCACGTATTGGGAAAAATTGGAGTTCAAATACCCCACCCCATGTACGAATTGGAAGCTACAGCATTTCGCAATTTTGGAATTTCCAAGTTTTTCTTTCCTTCAAAAACTCTCTTCAATCGTTCAAAGCCGTTTTCTTGTAGCCAACCAAGGACAAAGTTAATTCCTTTGCACTTGAAGACCTTGAACTCATCCATTAATCATTGACGCCATTTTGGATTCTGCACACGTGTTTAAAAGAAAAATTCAAATTCCCGACCCCCTTCAAATTCCCCACCTTCCACTAGAAAAAAAGGTCAAATTCCCGCCTTCTTAAAATACTAAACAAGCAAATTCCCCAGGTATGCCCGGGGGGGGGATGTCAAGGTTTCGATTTGATTCGCGCATAAACGTTATATGGTGTACTGAAAAGTTAACTGGATACCTCCATACACATATATACACACCCTAACCTTAAAGGCTTAAACCTAACCCCTGATACCTAACCCCTAACCCTAACCTATATTGGTATGCGAAACATGGAACGATTAACCGAAATTAATCATTCATTGGGGGTAGTATATGGCAAGTCAAGCGCACTGCGCACACATGATATGATACGACACGAGTATCCGGAATCACAGGACCGCATGTTGGGTCATTCCATTTATTATCCGCACCCCCCCCCCCCTATGGATGAGCGGATTCCTACCGGTCAGATATTAGGACTTAGGGGATTCCTACTGGTCAGATATTGGGAATTAGCAGATTCCTTCGGCCCGATTCCTACCGGTCAGATATTGCCGTCGAGGTGTAGCATACTATATTGCCAAATATTTATTATGAGAATCATAATCATTCCATTTATTATCCTCACCCCCCCCCCCGGTCTGACATTGGGAATTAGCAGATTCCTACCAGTGAGATATTGGCAATTAGCAGATTCCTACCAGTGAGATATTGGCAATTAGCAGCATTCCTAGGGTTTAGATTGATACTGTCGATTCCAACAGGGTACTTCTCTGAAATCCGATTCCTACAGGTAACTTTTTTACCAGAGCTCATCCATAGGGGGGGTGCGGATAATAAATGGAATGACCCGTTCGATTGGGCCATTGCATTTTTAAACCAAACCCTCCCTATTGAGGACATCCATTTTTTGGTCCCCCCTCCCCTGGAATTTCCACATATTTTAAGCGAATTTTGAGCCTCCCCTGTGGAATTTCTGCAGATTTTTATTGAATTTTAGCCATCCTCATGGAATTTCCGAAAATTTTTTATGAACTTTTAACCCATCCCATGGAAATTCCTTGACAGTTTTTGGTCTAGCCAGTGGAAATTCCGTATTCATTCTTTGATTAGTAGCTATCCCTTGGAAAATTCCTTGCTGATTTTGATCCTATCCTTTGGAATTTCTTTTCTATTGTTGACCCTCCCATGGAAATTCCATACGTTTTATTCATTTTTCTTACCTACCCTTTGGAATTTCCGCAGATTTGCTTTAAAATTTGGACCCTCCCATGGAAATTCCTTCATTTTTGGTTCACTTTTGCAGGGGGTCATTGGAAATTCCACATGTCCTCAATAGGGGGGGGGGGTGCAGATAAAAAATGCAATGGCCCATTTCTTCCAGAACGCCTACAATTGCATTTTTTGCAACTACTCCTGGTTGGGTGTAATAAATGTATAAAAATTCCACTTGACAGTTCCATCTATAAATCCCTTCAATGAACTTTGCACACTTGAAAACCTATATTTGTGCCTATATAGACAACTAGAGTTTGTTGCATATTATTGGCAGTTTTTAACATTAACGTCAACTTTATTAGTGCACACTTGAAATTTCAGATAGGATTGCACACTCGCACTCCCAAATTTTAGTCTTGCACACCCGAGATCTCGTCAAAAAGTGCCATTGCATTCTGCAGCCCTCAGTGTAGTAGAGGGTAATTCCATGGTGACTCATGTTACATTCTGAACCAAACTATCAGAGTAACTTTTATCTGGTGTAATAACTAATATTTGTTATATGGCTTTCCAAAATTTTCTATTCTGATTGGTTGACGTCAAGTGGTCCGTAAAAAAAACCATATCCGGACTGTGGCCCGTATTTTCCATATCTGGACCGGTGTCCAGGATGTCGTTTATCTGGCGGGAAATTTTTGCTTTGCAAACAGAAAAATTTTTTGCTTTTTAAATTTCCAATTGTGCTTTACAGATAAAAATTTCAAACAACCAAATTGTTTTTGATTGAGCATGCATGCCTACCGTATATTGTTACCCAGTGAAACTGCGACCTTGTACAAGGTTGGTGAAACTGACGATAGCCAATTTAATTCGTGCGAAAACCATATGCTCACAGGCTCAGTTCAGCCATATAATAAACCGATTATTGACCTCGCTTGCTCAGTCTGTACTGTGTTTTTGTTTGTATGGACCGAGCGACGAAGGAGCGAGGTCCATGCAAAAAACAGAGATCTGATATTTGACAGTACAGACCTCACGCTCGGTCAATAAGCTGTTAATAATATTATTTTTTTTCTGTCACATTTTTGCATGCAGGTACAAATAATGGTAAGCTATTGATTCACAGTAAAAATTAAACATTTGATCAGAACATGATAAGATTGGTGGCCGTAAATTGGTGTGTGACTCGATCATACTACAGTACGACAAAGTGACATGAGGTAACACTAACCTAACTACTTTTGAATTTCTTCGAGAACAAAGGAAAAAGAAATGTACAATGTTTATCAAGTAACAGACTAATTCTTGACAACTTTTTTTCCAAAAATGTCATCACTACCATGGAATTACCCTAGACTCTCTGAAATGGCATATAACCTTTAGCTGGAAATATTTAAATTTTCCGGAAATAAATACTAACGTGTGTGGCAATAATAGCCTGAAGTAAACTGAATGCTGAAGTACGAATGTAAAATATATACTAGAAGTTACTACAACTGTATTTCTGCATTGCCCTCAGCTTACACAGTTTATAATGCAAAATCTATGAACGTGTCAAGATTGTTTACATTTTGCATTGCGTGCCAGCAAATTTTGATCTTTGAATTTTGATAATCATGATAATCAATGATAAAGACATCAGTGCGCCTATAAGCATTAGAGTGTGTGGTTTGCATATTTGTTGGCTAGTATAAACCCACGTTTTCAACTGAGACTATCTGTGACACACAGTATTAGTAGTGTACAATATAATTAATACAAACAGGGAATCTTTTAAAATAAATTCATAGTTAATTTTACCTAAATGAATAATTTGAATGTGAACGTTTCTATCAGTTAAATGAATTGCAAATGATATATATATGTCTATATTTTGAATACGCACAAACTTATGACCTTTATACTAGCATATATTCAAAACAAAATTCAATATCTCGATATTTATGGTATATTTTGATCTATTTTATAAAAAAATTGTAATGTGTTCTCTTTTTATTACATTTTATTTATGGGTACAAAGCTTTTGGAAAGACGCGATGAATAATGCGTCAAAACCGCAGCAGTTATCTGAATAAGTATAGAATATATAAGTCATGTCAAAATATTTGACTGCAATCTATTTCCTGCTGTACAGGCTTCCTATGTTGCATCATAACAGGCGCGGTTACCAACCTCCCAAAGAAAGTGATACCCCAAAAAATTCTGCTTTCGGGGTCGCTTCACGTTCTATCGCATTCCCATTAAGCCCTGCGCTCCCATTGTTTTTCCACTGATCTCTATTCCCAACTGAAGCGATGAAGGACGAGGCAGATCCGAAGTTATTATTCATTTAAAGCTACATTTATATTCCTTCACAAGTCATGTGGCATGCAGATTCATTATTTTCTATTTTCATTGTCGTAGACAGTGAATGGACCTTTCACCTTTTGACTAAAATTTAGATCTCACAAGTTTAGACAAAAATTTTATCACAGCTTGCAA